GAAGAGCACCAATGTCTACAAGTACCCCATTGGCAAACTGAGGGTACAGCCTGTAGGCATTATCATCTTCGCAGCTGTCATGGCCACTTTAGGTATGCTTGCTTTTTCTCCCAACGGGAAATGGTTAAGCAATCTAGTCACGTCTTTTCTTGATTACTTACTTGTTTGCGACATGCGTACTGCCATGTTAGAACTATACTCAACTGAGTGCGATCTTCCTGCCAAAGTCATCTACATTAATTTGGTGTCACGTCTGCAGGCTTCCAAGTATTTATTCAAGCTGTTGAAAAGCTGATAGTGAATGAGGCTCCAGACAAACTGAACCAAGTGCAATTACTGTGGCTATATTCAATCATGATCTTTGCAACAGTAGTGAAATTAGCTCTGTGGCTCTACTGCCGAACGTCTGGTAACAAGATTGTCCGTGCTTATGCTAAGGTTAATATCTTGTTCCATTTCTCAACTTGGCATGAATATTTTTTACTTAAAATTGAACATAGTTTATCAAATATCTGTGGTGGATTGGTTTCCACAGGATCACTATTTTGATGTTGTCACAAATGTCGTGGGCTTGGCTGCTGCTGTCCTTGGTGATAGATTCTACTGGTGGATTGACCCAATTGGTGCAATTGCCCTTGCAGTGTACACAATTTCAAACTGGTCTGGAACGGTGTGGGAAAATGCAGGTTTGTGTTGTGTTACTTGTTCAGTTTGAACATTTGCTTAGGCAACAGTACCTGCACTCATTTTTTTTTATGAAAGAGAATTACCTGCACTCATTTACATCCGTCCAGTCGTACTCATGATAAGGAAGTGAGCCTAGCTCAAGTGGTTAGGTGAGAGGGGTGGTTGTGCACCCAAACACCTAGGTATAAGTCCTCGCCTTGAATTTGGGTGCCTATTTTCTCTTTTTAATGAAAAAAACACCTAATTCCTCCTAGGTTGGATGGATGGACTGGACTTCTCATCTTAATGAAAAAATGCCTACATCCTCCTAGGTTGGATGGACTTATTATTTATACTAGCCTACTAGAAATGGATGATATTTAACCTTGAAGTGGTGTTACCATTACAGATAGAAATTACTTGAGTTAAATGCTTGCTCTGGAATCACTTTGCACTATCAACCAGAGTAGTTGCCACATGTAGCACCAAGGTTACTTGCACGTTACAAATTGGCTAGGACTGACAGACAGTCTTATTATTGTTATCCTCCATGCAGTATCACTGGTAGGTTGGCTAGGACTGACAGATCTTATTATTGTTATCTATTGTTATCCTCCATGCAGTATCACTGGTCGGTGAATCAGCTCCTCCGGAGATGCTTCAGAAGTTGACATATCTGGCTATCAGACACCATCCTCAAATTAAGCGCGTTGATACAGTTCGGGCATACACCTTTGGGGTGCTTTACTTTGTTGAGGTTAGTGTTTCTTTATTTTACTCACTCTGTCCAAAATTATATGTCATTTTAGTTTTGTTCTAAGTGAAAAAGAGTTTGTTACTTTGTCCAAGCTTATAATAAAATGCAGCAACGTCTACAAGATCAAATTGATTTCATTAAATCCACATAAATATTAGGTGTTAATATATTTCTATACAAACTTGATCAAAGTTAGAAAGTTTGACTTGGGACCAAACTAAAACGACCTGCAATTTGGGACGGGAGTAATATCTTATATTCCTTCATTTGTCCTTTGCTGGGGGCTAACCAAGTGATAGTGTTATCTTAATCTGTTCAAATCCCTAGATGCTAGAACTGGATAATGTTGTTGTCTCAACAACTCAATTTGTCGTTTCGAAAGGTTAATGTCATTGTTGGGAACTAGCAGGTTTCAGTTGTCTCCTTCTGGCACTACTGGAAACAAAACCATTATTTTTTTCTAAAGTATCTTAACTTTTCTGTTCCTGCAGTGATACTGTAGTGCTTAATATAGAATGGTAAAATAGGAGTAAGATGTCATGGTTCTCTTATGATCTCACTTAATATATATAGCAAGTGGTAGTTGTAGTGTAGAATCTAGCAGTTGGGCAAGAATCATACCTGCTGACTGTTAGATTGTAACATGCTCATCTCATATGATCTATGGACTCTCACAGGTTGACATCGAGCTCCCAGAGGACTTGCCACTTAAGGAGGCGCACGCCATCGGAGAATCTCTCCAAATCAAGATTGAGGAGCTCCCTGAAGTGGAGCGAGCATTCGTTCACCTCGATTTCGAGTGTGACCACAAGCCAGAGCATTCAATTCTCAGCAAGCTACCCAGCAGCCAGCCTTGATCTGAACGGATCCTGCGTGGTAGATTGTCGTGCAGAATCTGCTGCAAAGTGCTTGGTGTCTTGTGCTGTGTGACAAAAACTAAGAGTTCAATTAGTTCTGTCGTCGTGAGTTTTAGATCAGGCGCGTCTAAGACTACGAGAGATGCAGGTGCCGAAGGCAGAGATTGCAATGAGTATGGAACCCCTTGTGGTTCTGTTGGTCTGGTCGTCGTTTTGAGCGAAATTAGGCATTTTGCTGTTGGCATCATGGCTGTGTGCTATGGACTATGGTGATGTTTAGACCAACGGTTGGGAGAAAGAGAGTAGATCCTGGATTGCTTTAAGCAAATTCCATTTCCTTTGTCTGAAACTCAGGATCCTACTGAACCTTCATTTTTGCTTTCTGATGAGGGAAAGCTGAAGCTTCGTTTTTTAGGGGGTGATACTGAATCTATACGTGTTATAGTGGCCCAAAACCTAAGCTCGAGTTTGCTTAACGTTTCTCAACATTTGTTCTTTGTAAGACCACCATCCGGCCCAGTACTTAGTGGTTTGCTCTTCTGTGCCAAGAATCAAGCCTGCTACTTTCTTTGCGGAAAACCATCAGGCCTAGTAAATCGAAACGGTCCTCTTATATGAAATTAAGAAACAGGCAAAGGATCAAAGAAAACGTGCAACAAGCATCCTCTTCTGAAAGAATGAAACACTGCGTAGTCCGTAACTAAACAACTCTGTCATGTGCTTCAAACTTTGTGTTACAATTGCGGTAGACATGTGTTGCGTCGTACTAGTCCACACGCGGCGTCCAGATTTGCGTACCACTAGACTGCTGGTAGTACTCAACACGCCGGATGCTGACAATCGTCATACGTTTGGTGGGAGCGTTTGAGCCCTGCCATCGAGGTCGATCATCAAGAAGATCTGCCATCTAGCGCCTTGTCCGGCGGGTCGTGCCCTGGATCCTGGTCCTGGTCTTTTTTGGCTGGGCCTGGCCGACAGCAGACAGCACCCGGTATCCGCCTGCCGACACGATGACGACACGATGGCTCTCCCTCCAATCCGTAGAGTTTTCCATACTCCAGCCGTCCAGCGGTTTTCGCCGTCAGGTGGCTCACCCGCAGCAAATCACGCGATTCACCCCTGGTTTCGAACTGACTGAGCACAGCGAGAGAACGATGACGTGCGCGGACGGATAAGCCAAGAAGCTCGTTCGTGAAGCTTCCTGATCGAACAGGAAAAAACTTTTTCTTTCTTTTCTTTTCCAAAAGTGCCTCCAAAACAGGAAAAAGCGGTCTTCTGGTGCGAAAAGCAAATCTCGCAGCTAATGAAACGAGAAGCGTGTATTTGCGCATTTATCCTAAACTCAAATAATCAGGCAACAAAACTCGTGGTACCATTAATTAAATTCGACACATGTATATGTTGCAAACATTGAAGATGACGCCGTCCCTAGAGATTGTGCTAGGTCAGCACTTTTATTGCTTCTATGATTATAAGACCCACCTGGTTGTTATTAATGTAAATTGCTTAGAGCTCACCAAATTTTATTAAAAGCAAATAGGAGTACTAAATAAACTGCAACTGCCCGGAGATGTGATCGGTTCATATTTGACAAGATTGGGCCCGTGCTGTTAAGTGCGTGTGCCGCACAAGATGCTCTAGAGGCTCCATCACAACTTTGCATCTAAATCCTTTTTATTGGTCCTCCACTATTAATGCTGTGAAGCTTGCCACTGTATTATGCCAATGTACATCATTTTCACATGTATTCCGGGTGGAGATTTTATTCCTTAAGATATTTTTGCTCGTCAGTCGAGCTAGCCTTTCCTTCCTCTTTTAACGCAAAACAAGTGTCTCAAGGCTAAAGCATAAATCATCGCCTCTCTTATTCATAATATCGCTTCAAATCGCCCCCCACACCCCCAGAAAAAAAAAGCTCATTTGGAAGGCCAACGTACTGTGATAATAGTGACGAGAATTTTCAAAATCATACTGTAAAATTTTCAGGAAAAATCGTTATTATGCTATATTTCTATAGCTCACGTGCCATGCCAACGCCATACCATTTCTTCATCTAAGGCGACAACATGGGAAAAAGGCTACAGTTAGTAAAGCTGCAGGTCGTGCTTTATTCCAGTACAAAAGCGACCATGCGTGTAAATCTTTCCCGCTAAAGTTCGGCTGTCAGACGCTGCTAACAACAAGGTCCTAAAACTAGGAGTGTACTAACAATTTCATCCTTGTACAAGGTCCTAAACATAAAACACCCCCCGTGTAGTAAATTTTTTACCCCCACGCTGACCGGCCGTGTGCCGCAGCTCGAAATTTACCTCGGGACCCCTGTAAAAATCCCGGCACCTCACTAGAACCCACCCGTCGCCAGGCCAGAGACCGCCACCGCGAACTTGAAAACGCGCGCTGTTCCGAGCCCGCTAACCGCGACGGTTAAAAACGCGTACAGCGTCGTCGCGTTCCTCCCCCAGGCCCCCCCTCTCCTCGCCTTTTACCCCGCACATCGCCTCGCCTCGCCGCCTCCCTCCTGCCCGTCGCGCTGAAACCCTCTCGGTCACCGCCGCGGTCGATCCGACCCGGCAGCAGCTCAGGGGACCCCGTCGCCGCAGCATCCTCCGAGGACCGTTGGCGGGGGGAGTCGTCGTCGTATTCGGCGGCGGGGTTGGATGCGTCACGGAGCTGGCGACAGGACCTAGCTGAGTTGAATACGGCGGCGGCGGGAGGACGTGATGCCGGGGTGGCGTCCGCAGCGGGATCGGGGATCTGGTCGCGCCGGCGGGACGAGATCACGTTCGATCGCCTCCAGAAGGTACCATCCGCGTGCCCTCTGCTTCGTTCGTAGGCTGAGCTCGATCTGGGTGATGGGAATTGGGGCAGGTCGGTCCTGCTGCCCTGGCGTAATTTCTGGGACGAAGCTGGTGCCGTGCCCTCCGCCTGGCTTGATTGGCTGCTCTGAGCTCTCGAGTCGCGAAAAGCTTCATGGGCATGTTGGTTTGGGGACTGGATGTAAGGGAATTATTTGCTGGGTTCGGGATTTATTTATTTTTTGATGAGTCGAGGATTCATTTGTGCGGCAAATTCTGTTGGTGGAGTTCAATCAGGTTACGCTTGTTGCTGCTTCTAATAAGCATACGGGCTAATTTTGACCTTTTGTAGCAGCTCATTTGTACTGTCTTTGCGTTAATTCTAGTGCATTGCCCTTAAGATATGGCGAGTCCGTGACGGTATGGCTGCACTTTTGGTTCGTACCTGAATGTGGTGGTGGGGGTGGGGGGAGTGCTAGCCTGCTAGGTTGGGGTTTCCATTCTGCTCTGTATGAAATTTGACTGGCTTGTGCTGTTTTCGTTACATTGTTGTGTTCGTTGCAAAACAATTCAGGCACTTGATTTGAGAAGTGAGGGTTTAAAAGTCTGTCCTGATGCTTAATTTGAGTGGCCTGTAAAAGTTCTGTTCTGACATCTGGCAATAATGTCTGCCAAATGTCAATGATGCCTGGTAGGGACACTGCTTCAGAAAACAAATTGCCATGGAAAGTTAGGAATGTAAACTGTAGCCCCAAAGAGGAATGCTAATTCAAAAACTTTTATCAAGTTGCTATCAGATGAAATCATCAGGTTGTGATGGGTCTTTGTTAATTTCAACGAAACCGTGAAGTCTTCACTCTTAAATCTTAGCACTTCCTATTATTTCTTTCATTGTAGCAGGTCTAGTTGCAAGTAGAATCATACTGGATAAAACTGGTGATTGCACTCAAATAATTAAAACATGCTTTTGTCCAGTCCATTTTGGTATTGTCACATGTTCTGTAATCTTCTTCAAGGTTTGTGCCATGTCTACTATGATGACCTAGCGTTTGAATTACAACAGCCTTGCTTCACCATCACCTTTATTTGAGTTTGTAAATGTAACATTGCATCACTCTTGAATAGGATTGTGATTGATCGTTATTCTGTAAGTAAGGTTCTTGTCAAGCTGTTTCTGTCATCGAGTTCATTCTACTGAATATTCTTTTTCAGCAACTAAGTTCTCAATTGAGGAACTGACTACTTTATGGCTGTGAATTGATTTTTTTTTCAGTTCTGGAATGACTTGTCTCCTCAAGCACGGCAGGAACTCCTCAAATTGGATAAGCAAACTCTCATTGAACAAGCACGCAAGAATTTCTACTGCTCAAGGTGCAATGGGTTGCTTCTGGATAGTTTTGCACAAATTGTTATCTATGGGAAGTCACTGCAGCAAGAAGCTTCAGATATTGGTTGTCCGAGGACAAGTACTGAGTCAAGAATTACACAAGGAGAGCAAGATGGGGCTCAGGACCCATCAGTTCACCCCTGGGGAGGCCTTTCAACCACAAAAGATGGTGTCCTTACACTTCTTGACTGCTTTATAAACGCGAAATCATTACGGGTGCTTCAGAATGTAAGTGTGCGGTAACTTTTGGGCTTCTTATTTTCTGTCTGTGCTCTATTGATGACTATATGATTGAGAACTAATTTTCTATTTTGTATATTGGTCCTTTGTGTTACTTTATGTGGAGTAATCAGTAAATATAATCATGGTGTTTACTCTGAAGTTTTAGTTCTAGGTCGGTCATTTAACCCTCTAGTGGCCTAATGCATTTTGGCCTTGTAATTTAATCAGGTATTTGACAATGCACGGGCAAGAGAAAGGGAACGGGAAATGCTTTATCCTGATGCCTGTGGTGCAGGTGGCAGAGGATGGATTAGCCAAGGGATGGCTAATTATAGGGTCATCGAATAAGAGAAATGTGTGCTCTACACACTGCCCACCTCTCATGTGATACGCTGGTGGATTTCTGGTCAGCACTTGGTGAAGAAACTAGATCATCTCTTCTCATGGATGAAGGAGGAAGATTTCATTGAAAAACTTATGTACAGGTGAGCATAGGCATTCGGATTACCAACAAAGTAACCAAGTTAACTAGTGAGTTAATAACAACCTGAAGGTCTGTGTCCAACAAAATGCAATCCTTTTATAGAAGGAACCTTGCAAGTACTCGTAAGCTGCTCTGAGCCTCACTGAAGATTGATTGGAATTTTATATATGCACTGTTATCGGAAGTGCTACTTCTTGCTGCTGCTTTGCCGCTTCCAGATTTTCTTGGTATTGGTGCTGGCTGGCTGGTGTTTTTGCAGCTGCATCCAGCAGCGCTGCAGCAGCAATCACAACTGATCAGAGTGATGAATGCTTGAGTAGTAGTATATGTCATTTTTACGATATTACTGATTGGTTCTGTCTTGTTCTGTTGGGTGTTCAAGTAACTTTTTCCTAATAGTCCTAGTCTGCTGGGATTTCTCTAGCAACAGCCTATAGATCAGGTTAAAATTTGAACAGTTTGGTGGAAATTTGTGAACAGGTTTGATAGCAAGAGATTTTGCCGAGAGTGTCGAAGGAACGTTATCCGTGAATTCAAGGAGCTGAAGGAACTGAAGCGCATGCGAAGGAGCCTTGCTGCACCAGTTGGTTTTGTGTTGCAGATACTGCTTTTCATTGTGAGGTGAGGATGCCTTCCTAAAACCCAACTCACCAACAAAATTTCCATTTGATTGCTTGGTACCTTATGTACACTTCCTATGTGAGTCAAATCTGTCTGCTCTGATTTTCAGGTGTTTGAGGATGCTGTTGTAGTTGATTGGCGCCAATGCTTATCAGAGCCAGATGAATCTTATGATCACTTTGAATGGGCTATTGGGACAGATGAAGGAGAATCCGATATTTTTGGGTTTGAAAATGTTGGAATGAATGCACAAGTCCACAGAAATGGAATCGATCTTGATCAGTTTGAGGACTACTTCATAACACTGCGAGCTTGGAGGCTTGATGGCCAGTGCACAGAGCTGTGTGTAAAAGCACATGCATTGAAGGGTCAATCATGTGTGCACCACAGGCTAGTTGTGGGTGATGGCTTTGTGACTATGACAAAGGGCGAAAGTATTAGAAATTTCTTTGAGCATGCTGAAGAGGCCGAGGAAGAGGATGTACGTCACTTGCCATTTATGGCGACATCTTTAACTGAGATAGACATAAATAGAGTATTCATTGTTGGTGTCAAAAGATATTATTCTGATCGATGAAAATATGTGCAGGAAGATGATGCCATGGACAAGGATGGAAATGATTTTGATGGTGATGGTGCCCATCCACAGAAGCATGCCAAGAGCCCTGAACTGGCAAGAGAATTTCTTTTGGATGCTGCTGCTGTAATATTCAAAGATCAGGTACTAACCAATACTTGATATAATGGTTTCAACTTTCAACTCAAACGAAGGAAAACGACTTGATTTTTTTTCTATATTTGTGAACCTCAGCTCACAATTAACTGATTAAGATGGCTTAGCTAGCTGTATATTCAAGCTCACATCCTCTAGTTGGACCAGCTCACAACTAATGTGACTAGTAAGAAAGTATATCAACTTATCAGTTTCCGCGGTTCCTGTGTGAAGACTTCTATAAGTGTGCCACCTGATTTAGTAATGTTTAAATAATTATTAGTTGTTTCTCTTAGCATATTTTTCCGGCACCATTCCTTATTTACCAATGGAAGATTTTATTTGGGATTGGCACCTTGAATACTTTTTGTATTCATCTGTTATCGTACAGCAAGGTTGATTGTCACTTTAGTACCTATAAAGGATTCATGGCTAATATAGTTTCTAGTCTCTGCATTGTGTGGCTTTCAGACATGGTTGTTTATTGAGTACTGTAGTTAACAGCATCTGACCATTACCTGTTTAGATTTCTCAGAAATTCGAGCATTTATACTCCAAATATTAAGTATAAATGTGGATATCTTTGCAGGTTGAGAAGGCCTTCAGGGAAGGTACAGCACAGCAAAATGCACATAGTGTTTTTGTGTCCCTTGCTTTAAAACTTTTGGAACAGCAAGTTCATGTAGCATGCAAAGAAATCATTACGTTGGAAAAACAGGTGCTTATTATACCTCTAGATAAAATTCAGATAAGGTTGACTTGCTCATATTTGTGAACATCAACTGTGGCTGCATTTATTGCAGAACAAACTTCTTGAGGAAGAGGAGAAAGAAAAGCGTGAAGAACAAGAGCGCAGGATGAAGAGGAGAACAAGGGAGAGAGAAAAGAAGAACAGGAGAAAAGAAAGGCTGAAAGAAAAGGAAAATAATAAAGGGAAAAGACTAGATGAATCAAAGTCACCAGGCGATATTTCATCTTCAGCTCCAAGCAACTCCTCAACATCTACCAATGATTATTCGACAAATACTCTGGACTCAAGAGATTCAGCTACGGAAGAGGAAGACAGTGCTGAAGTTGTGAATCTGTGCTCTCCTGACAGCTGTGTGAATCAATCTTCATGTACAGAAATTAATGGAGAAAACAGTGCCCAGTGCAATGCAGTTACAGAATTTTCTCCAATGGACAGCAGTGACCTTTGCACACCAGATCAATCCAAGTCTTGAGGCGAAGTCCAAGGTCAAGAGAGGATTTTCCTCGAGATCAGTCCTGTTGGTATGATGACTGCCAAGATGAATCTGGAAGAATTGGTGAATCACAATGGAAGTCAAGGGAAAGGACAAGAAGTATTGATAGAAGTTGCAATGCAGCATCCACCTCAAATAACAGAACAAGAGAGAGGCACTCATACAATTCTTGCAGCTGCGGCCATCCGGAAGACTATGGAGTTATGGACAGCTGTTTCTTGCCAACAGCTAGATCTGGCAGAGAGATGAAGATAGCAAGAAAATCAGGAGTTGAGAAACCCAGGGTGCAGTACCACAGATGCTATACTTTGGATAGCTTTATAGTGTCAAAAGGAAACCGTGCTGGTTGTACACAGAAAAATGTTATCCCAAAGCAAGTATGGGAGCCTATGGATGCTCGAAGGAAGACTAACTTACACAACACAGTTCATGATTCAGGTTCAATTAACAATGTTGATCCACTGAAACATGTGGTTTTTGATAATAGCGGATCTCAAAAGTTCGGTGTAGGATGTGAATCACAGCCTCAGGTTTCTGAAAGTTCCAGGGATGTTTGTAATTCAGATCAACCATGTGCAAATGGTGGGAGAAATCAAACTACTTCCTGTGCTAGTACTCCTATGGTGAATAAACAAAATTGTTACTCAGAAAATGATGAAGGCTCCAGGCATGATGAAGAGCTGATGACGAACTCTGCGGTTCTGATAGCTCCTCTTCATATATGAGCAGGGAGATAGGGAAAGCAGCTCCAGCAGTACAACCTCTTCGAGCGCTCAAAGTCCGGAATCGTCCTCTGAGTCTGAGGAATCACCAAGAGAATAAACAGCAAAGTAGGTACACCATCATCAAGAGCTGCTTCACGGTCTTTGCTTGAAGCATGTGCAGGAAATGGTTTCAGAGAATACCAACCAAAAGCCACCCGCCCAGCACAGAATGACATGTTTGGGTACAATGTATCCCTGTCCAGGACCAGCTGCTGCATTACCAAAGCATGCATGCACCTCAACATCCGCCAATAACAATGGGGTTTCATGATCGTTCTTGGGCTGCACCAATGAATGGAAACTTCCAGTATGCTCGACCATCCCACCTATATTCTAGTCCGCTCGTATTCGGAATACCTGGGAATCATTTTATTGATTATCCTTACATAGCTCCTGCCTTCAGCCATATACCTCCAGAGCCTATTCACAAGGCCTCAGCCAGCTTTAGAGCCATGCCTCTGTCACCGCCTTTTCGAAACGGACATAGGCAGGTTGCTGGCCATACTCAGAGAGACATGAATCTAGAGAGGCACCCTTCAAAGGTGACTATGCCGACAGGCATGGATCCCCCAGAAGACAAGAACAAGTCGGGCCTAAAGGATCTCCCAGAAGACAAGAACAAACCATGGGATGCGGATGCATCCTTCTCGCTGTTCCAATTCAACTTGCCAATAGCTTCGCCTGTAACACCATCATCGAAAGATAAGAGCGAAGAGCTGGCTGCAAGGACACCACTGGTTCAGGTTCAAGCTCAGCTTTGCTCGAGGGAACAGGCAGATGTGAAGGAGTATAACCTGTTCTCCTCGAAAGATAATGGTATATTTTCGTTTATGTAGATAAAAGAAAAACTGTGACAAACCTGGTACCCTTCATTTCTGCTGGATCTTGCTGCACTTCGTGAATGATTTGTGTTCTCCGAAGAAAAATAAAGGACGTTGGCATTTTCTTCTTGTTGTCTGTATCTTCGTTTACATTTATGTTTGTTACCGTGTGTGCTAAAAGCTAGCTAATCGGCAATGCTGCTGAATCTTGAATTTTGTTTATATAGAATAGAATACATAGTTCTGTATTGATTGGTTCATGATTTGCTCCAGACATCTGAGAACGTGTTAACCGGAAAATGAAAATACCAAGTTCCAAATTGTAAGTCTCCTGACAGCTGAGAACATGTTAACTGGGAAATGAAAATACTCCTAAGTTCCAAATTGTAAGTTGTTTTAGCAGTTATAAGTCAAACTTCTTTGCTTTTAATCAAGTATATAGAAAAATGCAGACATTTATAACATCAAACTAGTTTTTATATGTATCTTGAAATATATTCTGATAGTGCTTTTATTTATTGTAGATGTTATCATATTTTTTCTGTAAATTTCATCAAAATTAGACGTTTAACTTAGAATAAAACTAAAATAACTTGCACTTTAAAACAAAGGGAGCATATCTGTAATCCTTTCAACTAGACAATAAGGGCAATTGCTGGCATCACCTCCCTAAAAGCTACTCGTGCTTTCCCTTAGCACCATATCATAGGTGCCAAGGAGATTTTAATTTTGTAAATCCGTACTAACAATACTATATTCAATGGTACTAATAAATAGACAAGCTCCGTAGTTTGACACAAAGAAAACAAGGAAGAAATCTATTTTTGTCCATCGGATGATAATCCAACTCTGGCCATCAAATTTAAAAATTGGATATCTGTGGCCGCTTACTATCAAAGTCAAACAATTTTACCTGGTTTCAATGGCGGTTTGTGTATATATGTTTTCGGAGGCACCGGCGTCCAGACGTGCGGCGCCCGCAGCGCGTTCGAACGCAACTCCCAGTCCCAACGAACGGAACCGTGGCCCAACTCCCAGTCATAGGCCCACCGCAGCCTGCCCCCCGCCTGTGTTCGCCCCGACCCCGTCCGACTTCGCCCTGTCCCACGCTCACACTCTTCCCCGTCTCTGCACCCACCGATCGCCCCTAACCCCCTCCTATCTCTCCGCGCGGTCGACACTCAGGAGCCGGGATGAGCAGCTGAGGACGAGCACACCGCCAGCGTGCCCCGACCGCAGCACCCCGTCCGCCGGCCCCCGACTCGCCACCCCCCTCTCGAACAACATAAAATACTTACAACATGAATGTAACATAAGACTGAAAACAGATGAAATATTAGAAACATACTTTTACAACATATGTGTGAAACACATGAAACATCTAAAATAAAAATACTTGCAACTTACAACATTAAACCACTTGTTGCGACATAAGACTGAAACAAATAAAACATTTGAAAAATATTGTTGCAACATATGCAACATCCAAATAAAAAACGATTGCAACATACGCCTGGAATGAAACATTTTGAACAAACACTTGCAACATGCATCTGAAAACACTTGCAACATATGCAACATCCCTCGATATACTTTTGTAACATTAAAATAAAACAATTGCAACATACATCTGAAATGCCTGAAACATACATATACAACATAGGGGAGAGGTCAGAGCCGGCGGCAAGCTGCGGCGCGCGAGCACCACCAACACCACCCACGCTCGTGGGTGCACTTGGGTCGGCCTGGGAAGACATGAGGCGCCACGACACATGCGCCTCAGCGGCCATGGTGGGGTTAGCAGCGTGCGCGACGGCGATGGGAGACGGACGGACGGTGAGGGAGCGAGCGGCACAGGTGTCTGGGACAGGCACGCATCGCGGGGCTGTGGGGGACAACGCGGCCGGTGATGGGGCGCGGACAATGAGCGGCCACGCTGCTTCGGGGCTTGGCAGATAAGCACGAAGGAGTTGGGGGGTAAGCACGAGGGAGTGAGGGATTTTGTTTTCTGTTTGGGACCCGCTCTTGGGGAGTCGCGTCCGGACGAGATACACGAACGGACGCCCAAGTTGGATCATTTCCAATATGTTTTTCTTGAAATAATAAGGTATAATGAGGTATCTAAAAATTCAGCAAATACATTTTAAATAAAAAATAGGATACTGCCAAAATTTTCTAAAAATACATATAAGAGGGCTTCTATTTAGAGTTATTTGGATCTTACTTGTTCCTATTGCTAGTAGTCGTTACCGTTTTGCACTATATTAGACCACGAGTTCAACTAATAAAAAGACCAAATAGATTCAGGGTACAGAGATCTCAAAAGTGACACCAACCGACCTCATAGACGCCATGCTCTACATATTGATCCTATCTACGCGTTGATGCCTAATGAGTTACTTTATTTTGATAGATTGACTGGGTAATAGGTTTCAAATAAAGCAGTGGCTTAAACATCATGCAATCAACACAAAGTAAAGTGCAAAAAGAATAATTTAAATAAATAATAGTCACGACTACTAGCAATAAAACACTAGCAAACAAAGTAAGACAAGAAAAACTCTAAATAGAGCACACTCCCTCTATCCATAAAAAAAATGCAATTCAAGCACAGTACCAAGTTGAAGTATCTTGAGTTTGACTAACTATAAATAAACAAATTAATATTCATAATATCAAATAAATATCATTAGTTTTATTATGATACATTTTCATACTATATTATTTAGTATCATAAACATTAATATTTTTACCTATATATTTGGTCAAACTTCACTTAACAAAAAAAATGCACCAAAAATTGCATACTTTTGTGGATAGAGGTAGTGAATAGATAGATTATATTTTTAGAAAAAAAAAATTGGTGCTAATTTATCAAAATAAATTAGTCATAGTTCGATAGCCAAAACAGAACTTTCTGATTAATACAGAACACTAAGAATCAACATTCCAACTTCAAGAATATGAAACTATATAAGCTCAAGAGATGCCTGGGCGATTCATCAAGCAAATTGAACGTCATACAAATGTTAAACAAGCCCGCCAAAGAGATATACAGTACGACATAAGCCACCCACAAACTATGCCCGTCACAACTCACAGACAGTCACAATTTGCTTTACAAATATTACACAAAAAAAATCATCCTTGAAATTGCAAAACAGCAAGGTAAAAGCTAGGCTCGTCAACAAACTCTGTTATTTCATACTTGTTCCCAGATGCAGCCTTCTCCAGGAAGGCTTTATTGGGCAAATCAGAAGTTACAACATGAGGATGCTCTCTCCGTTGTTGCTCAAAATTCTGTCTGCCTTGATCTAAGAACATGACAACTCTTGCACCTGGGGAAAATATAATTAGATCAAGTTCTAAAACTGAACCCAAAATTTTTTGCATGTGTAACCACAAACAATAATATGATGCACTCACAGGAAATGTCATGTTTCAAAATTAAGCATGTCTTGCATTTTCTCTATAGGCGCAGCAAAGCTAATGAGAGTTGATAGGCTTGATATCTGTTAGGCAAGGCTTAGGCTCGATTTATTTTGGCTAGAAATTTTGGAAAGCAGCTTATGGATTGTAGATTGTGGAAAGTTGGATTGTGAAAAGCTAAAGGTCCAAAAGCTGGTTGCTGTTTAGGAACCTGGATTCCGGGTGGGTTGGATTGTTGGGTTTGGATGTCAAAACTCTACACTGCCTCAGCTATTTTGGGTGCCCTATTTACCACTTTGTGACTCGTTTGCCGCTCATTCAGATTTTTTGTCCCTACAATATCCTAACACAAACTTATGATGGAAGACAATATAGCTCCCTCTTCATCTCCCGATTCACCATTGCATGCCACCATTCACTTGAAATGGATATGCTTCTGGTATTGGCATAGTTTTAATCCTGATCACACATATCGAAGTATTGATCACTCATAGCACTATCTCAAATGAACTTATAAAGAGTAATGCATGCTAATATTATACTAGCAGCCTGCTATCAGTCGTTAAAACTAGCCTAACAACTCAAAGGAACGGAACATATCAGAACGCCCTTGTATGCATAATCAGAACCATAAATATGTTCCATGAATTGCATCACTGCTGCTCCAATTAAACTAAGACAACAAAGCCAAATTAGCCATCCAAGTAGTTCAAGTATATGTTAAGGGCTTGATGCAATATGATATCTGGCAACAACGGTCTCATAATAACCCAATCTGATCAATCAATGTCTCAACTCTCAACCCCACCAATTTGCCATCTCAAATGATTTAGCTATGGTTTAGAAAACGCAATGCACAGCCTAATAAGCCGCATCCTTCTAAGCACCTCAGGCTCAGTCCACTGGAAGTCTGAAACAACAAAGCTAAGAAAGGATAAGGTGCCATTTCAACAGGTCTCACCTTTTGAGCACCTCTTGGCCAGCGATTTGAGGAGCGCCGCGGCGGAGACTCCCATTCCAGGGAAGTAGCACACGAACACGACATCGAAGTCGTCGAACCTCTCCGGCACGGCCTCCACCACGCCGCCGCCCCTGCCCCCACCCCCACCCTCCAGGTGGAAGCACCTCACCTCGTCGTGCGCCTCCTTGACCCCCGCCAGCACGTACATCGACTCGTGCGCGGCCACCAGTAGCTCGCAGGGCGAGGACGCGAGGAGCGAGCTCACGAAGGACGCCGTGGGCGTCAGGGCCAGCACCCGCAACGCCGGCGAGAGCGCCCCCGCGGCGAGCGCGCGCTGGAGGTTTGCGCCCGCGGACTCGAGGAACGACCAGTCCTTCTCCACGATGTCAGCGACGGCGACGTCGTCGGGCCCCGCGGCGAGGCGGGGCTTCGCGGTCGCCGGGGTGAGGGTTAGGCTGAGGCGGAGGGGTTTAGGTGGTTTTGCGTTCGGTGGTTGCGACTGGGCCTGGGATTGGGGTCGGATTCTGGGAGTGGGGCGGTGGTGAGAGGAGAAGCCAAGGGAAAGGGAGGTGGAGGCGGCGGCCATGGGGGCCGCGTTAGGCGGTGGCGTCCGGAGGATAGAGGT